GAGAGAGAGAGAGAGAGAGAGAGAGAGAGAGAGAGAGAGAGAGAGAGGGAGAGAAAGATCTTATTTGTAATATTCAGTTAGAGCTGGTTTGTGAGAGGAAAATTTCTATTGAATGAGTAGTGCTGGGATTAAGAATTTGTGCACCACAAGGACCAGCTGAATTTCTGAAAAGAAAAAAAAAAGAAGAGAAAGACAAGAAAGGAAAGAAAAAACTGCTTTCTAGATATACAAGCAACTGTAATGTGCAACAGTGTCCCACTTGTGTAGTTCGTATTTGACTTTGGTTTATTAAGGAAGTTTCACACAGTATTATCTCCAAAGAGGAGCCAACAGCATCTTTGTGCTCAGTCAGTTGTCAGTTGTCACCACAACCACCACCACACAAAAAAATCTGACAGCAAAACTTTAGGGATTGCAAGTGTTCCTCATCTGAATATCCAACCACTCCTAGCTAGCTAGGTTTGCGATTCTGTCCCAGTTGTCATACAGAGGTTAAGGAAAGGGGGAACCACCTATGTATACAGTTCTGTGAAACCATCATCCAACAATAATGCTAGGTAGACTTTCCAACATAGCTGCTCTCAGGGCAGTCCTTGACACTCATTCTTTTAAGCCTTGGATAAACCATGTAGGGTAAACCTGACAAATTCATCCATCCTGAAGGCTGTGCTTGCTTATTCTATTAAGACCCAAACAAACTTTGGCTGGTGTCGAAATAACTAAATAACTAAATAAATGAATAAATAATAAATAAATGAATACGGGAAATAAAATAGGAGGGAATAAACATGCCTATTGTTGTAATTTCCTAATACACATGCTTATGCTCAGTTTCTGAGCTGGAGAGATGGCTGAGTGATTCGGGGCTCTGGGGGATCTGGTTGGTTGATATTGTTGCAAACCCCTTCAGCTCCTTCACTCCTTTCTCTAACTCCTCCATTGGGGACCCTGTGCTCAGTCCAATGGTTGGCTGCAATCATCCATATCTGTATTGGTCAGGCTCTGGCAGAGCCTCTCAGGAGACAGCTAGAACAGGCTCCTGTCAACAAGCACTTCTTGGCATCCACAATAGTGTCTGGGTTTGTTCTCTGCATATCAGATGGAACTCCAGGTGGGGCAGTCTCTGGATGGCCTTTCCTTCAGTCTCTGCTCCACACTTTGTCCC